ATATATATATATATATAAATATAACTCATGAAGTATTTCAATAAAAAAAATCTTATAATGTAAATTATTTTTTCCCCAAGATTATATTAATTTCATTTAATAAACTAATTCCTTTTAAATTTGAACATAAACAACTTCTTATATGTATTTAATTGGCAACGGAAATAAGTAAAAGTCAATAATAATCTTTTTGAATACGTTATAATTTATCTTTCTCTCACTCTTTTTTTATGATGCAGTTTTGGTTATTACTTCAAATTATTACAGGATTAAAAATATAGTAAGATTAAAATATTCATTTTCTAGGCACTCCTAGGTCTTACTTTGGTTACCAAGTAACAAGAGATATGGTAAGGTTTAGGTAGACAATTGGTTTTGGACTAATATAAGATCCCACGTTTGAGCTAAATCACTATACCTTTAGGCACCAAACTGTGGCTCATGGTTAAACAATGTCTTCTCATGGCAGTGACATTCACTTTTTCAAGAAGATTGAAGAAGACACCCTTCGAATTGGGAAGCTGGTAACCATTCTTTCTTTCGCTCTCTTGTATTCATGTACTGCATGCATGTGTACCATGAATAAAGGTAATCTATTCACATTTAGATTTGCATGGCTGGTTTTTAATCTTATTCTTCTTCATGCATGTTCATTCATCTTTCAAGGACTTAGATTCTAGAAGCCTTGAGGGCTATTTTCCTTTTCACTTACAGTTATGTTTAACATCAATATTTTTAAAGGCCATATACTAGCTATATTGACATCAAGATTCTGACAAAGGATTCCTCGAGGTTTTGTGAACAAATATGTTGGGAAGGAATATCTAACCCTGTATTCCTTCATCTTCCTAACGGTGCTAAATGGGATGTGAAATGGAAAAAATATGAAAGATTACGGCAACAAGAATTTAATTTAGATTATCTCTCCAATAAGTAATTAATTTGCCATTGTATGAATATTGTGTTGTAATACTTTAAGAGTCCACATTTGTTGAAAATCTTTCTTAGAGAATTGGTCTTTAAAGTGAATAGTTATATTGAATCTTCTTTAAAATTTAATTAATACTTTGTGTGAACAAAATTGAGATATATGTGTATAAAACGATTACAATATTATTGTACTTATATTATATATATTTATATAATTTTATTTTTATATGTAGACGATATAATACATATTATCGTATATGTAGATATATAACTTTATAATATGTTAGTGGATATGTTATTTAATGTAAGGATTATAACGAATTATTATAGTTAATTAAGACTTGAAAGACATAGAAAATAAAAAATGTATATATGTATAATTTTATGGGACCACAATGTTTTTTTAGGGTTATTTTTTTTACATAATAGCAACAAATGTTTAATTTATGTGTTATAATAATAATTTAATTCAATAATTATAGTTATATTAGTCAAACTATATACTATATAATTTTATTAAAAAAGCACCAATGTTTATAATAATCGACAGCAAGATAATGATAACATATTGGAATCACAAATGATTTAATTAACTTTGCATCGTTCAATAAAATGTAAGCTTTGAGAATTGAATATGTTTAGTTCTTTACTTTTTCTTACTGTGTGTTTGACCGAAAGAAAAAAAAAGGTGATTAAAAATAAGAATAACAAAAATAAAGAGTTAAAATAAATGAAAAATAAAATAGAATTTCAAATCTTTAGATGAGAATAAAGAAATAAAATTAATGCTTAACTGATTGTTTTTAACTTTTTATTAAATTTTAATCAACTATATAAAACCAACAACCTATTAAACATATAAAACTTAGTTACTTTCTCTATATGTGAATATAAGCAAAAAAATCATAAATAGTTTATCTAAATGAGGATAAAATTTAACTAATTTTAATACATTTTATATTATTATATCTTTATTTATTTAATAATGAGTTTTTTAGTATCAAATTTCAATGAAAGCAGGTATAAGAAAAATTATTTCAATTGAAATTAACAAAATTTTAAAATATTTTTAACTATTTTTTCTTAATTAGTGCGCAAGTTAATTAGTTTTATATATAACATTTTATTGATGAGTTCATAACACATACATTTTGTTTAACCAACTGAGCATACTCTGATTAATTTTATATATGTAATTGAGTTCGAAAGTAATTTTATACGGTAACCCATTTCTTTATTATTTATTCTTAATTTAGAGATAAAAGAAAAGGTGGCAAGTCATGATTCTTCTCTCTCTCTCTCTTTTTTTCTTATCAAACACACTTATTTTTCTATTTATCATATATTACAATAACTAATTTTACTTAAAAATTAATAAATGAAATATAAAATAAAATATAAAAATTTTCATATTAAAATTTGACAACACATATAACTAAAATAAAATATATAATCGAGAGATATGCATGTGCATGTTTATATGAATTCTAGATAATTTGATTAAAAAATTATTATTATTTGTATCAAATGATGTTTGAATTTACTTGAGAGGATACACCATACTTAATTTCTAATTCAGAAGTGTTATTTATAACAAAATTGAATCATTTTTTTTTGGCATATGGATGTTTGAAACATTTGAAAGGTTGAAATAAATAAATTATTAAAAAAATCACTGGTTCAGTTCAACTTAATAATAAGGATTAAGATAGATATATGAATATTTATATTCAATTTTTATTGTATATAAAAAAAGTATAGTTATAAAAAATTAAATAAATACGTGTATCTTGTACTATTAAAAACAATAAATATAAAACACTAATTCTAAGTGAATTACTGCTACTAAACTAAATAAAAACATCGTGATAAAAAGTAACTTAATTGTCTTCATTTCAAAGAGTAACAAGAGATCGATTTGGGAAGCTAGAAACCAGTGATTTAAAACCCGGATCGAACAAGCCGGTCTAAATCTTAAGTTAAATTAGTTATGCAGTCGATCCGTTTTAAATCGGATTGAACCGGTCAATTTTTTGGTTCAACCGGTGAACTAGTGGGTCAAACCAGTTCAACTACTTTTTTTCTTTTTTTAATTTTTTTAAGGAACCATAAACCACAAAAAATAATAATGAAAATTGAATCTCTTAATGAAAGAGCAAAAAGTCTTATTAAATATAACAATGACTACTTGTTCTAATGTATTTGTTTGTAATATATACAACTTAAACAATTTTTATAGTATATTATTAATTTTAAATTATATATTTAATAATATAATATCTATGTAGATATTATATATATTATTTTGTGATATCAATTGCAAGTATATTATATATGTACATATTATTTATATTTTTAATTTGTATTAATATACAGTTTAACATGTAATTTTTTATGTATTTTTTTACAAAATAAAAATAAAAATAATTTTAAATAAGATAGAAAAATTGAAATTTAAAATAAGATACAAGGAGTCTTATTAAATATAACAATGACTACTTGTTCTAATATATTTGTTTGTAATATATACAACTTAAATAACTTTTATAGTATATTATTAATTTTAAATTATATATTTAATAATATAATATCTATGTAGATATTATATATATTATTTTGTGATATTAATTGCAAACATATTATATATGTACATATTATTTATATTTTTAATTTGTATTAATATACAGTTTAACATGTAATTTTTTATGTATTTTTTACAAAATAAAAATAATTTTAAATAAGATAGAAAAATTGAAATTTAAAATAAGATATGAATTTATTAAAATTTATAAGTATAAAATATATTTACTATGAATATTTTTTAATATAAATAAATAAAAATCGAGTTATGCAATTCAATTAGTGACCTACCGATTCAATCTTTGACTCACTGATCCGGTACCTTAACTGATTCGATGACCTGTCCGATTTTTAAAACTATGGTATAAACATTAAAATTAAGATATCGAGTAGTGAGTAGTGACTTGATCGTAGAGTCTTTTGGGTTACCAAGTAGCAAGGGATCAATTTGCAACGTAAGCATCAATTGAACCATAATGGAACACTTTGACCGTAGTAGTTTTTATAGGAGATTGATTTCGGAATAACTTATTTAGAATGACCATTGAGCTGAAACAATATATTGTATACCTTGGAGGCACGAAATTCCATTTCATCGTTAAACAATGTCTTTCGGTGGCAGCGATATTCACTTTTTCAAGATAATAGAGGAAGACACCCTTCGAAATGGGGAGCTGGTAACCATTCTTCTCTTCTCCACTTTCATATTCATGTAAATTATGAAAACAAACTCGTATGTGCACTACGAATGTAGATAAAATAGTCTTCATGATCATACTCATACATTTTTATTAGTTTTTAAGAAGAATGACTTTTGTAAATCTGTTATTTTTCAAGTGCTTAAGATTTTGAAGCCTTAAGGTTGATCTCCCTTTTCCCTTATGATTATGTTATCATAAAATATTATTATTGAATGTCATATACTATGTTGACAAAAAGCTTATGGCAGAGAATTCCTCGAAATTTTGTGAACAAATGTTGGGAGGGAATATCAAACCCGATTCTCCTTCTGCTTCCTAACGGTGCTAAATGGGAAATAAATTGGAAAACACTTGATGCTGACGTATGGTTAGTCGATAATTGGAAGAAATTTGTATTATTCTATTCTTTGGATCAGAACCATCTTTTGGTGTTCAGATATGTAGGGATGTCACGGTTTCAAGTTGTAATACTTAATCAAAGTGGCTTGGAAATAGGGTACCCTTTGATGGAAGAAACGTTACATGGTGAGGAAAATGGTAATTCTTTACTTGAGCGTAAAAAGGCAAAATCTTCATTACCGTTGTCTCCTTGTTCTAAGAAGGTGAAAATCAACCCAATAAAGGAACCATTTTCTTATTCTACTAAGCAAGTGAAAACTAACCTGAGAAAAGATCTCACCCAAAGTGTTGAAGATGAGGTTGGTTGTGCAAAGCCCAAAAAAAGAGGTGTGAGAATGTGTTATTTTTTTTCTCATCCCTTATTCTTCCGTTTCAAACTTGAAATTTTTGTCTCTTTGTATTTAACTTAACATTGATTTGTTAACAGGTAGAAAAAGGATCATGGATGCAGATAGTAGATGCTTAAAATCTAAGGCTATTCAAAGAGAGAAATTGTTAGAAAAATCTGAAAGTAGCGTTGCTTTAAGGAGTGCCATGGCTTTCCACTCAGAAAATCCCTTCTTCATACGTGAAATGCATCCCTCGTACATTAACAATTATTTTTTGGTACCATTCTCCCGAAACAAATTAAACTGTATACAGGAAAATATTATGAATACGTTCTTTTAAACATATACTTTTTAATTTGTTGAAATTTATTGAAATATATAAATTTGTTAGATCATGTATTCTATTAATGACTTTTTTTATATAGTTTTTAATAAAATTTAACTAATAAAGATGAGTGTCTTAAAAAAGTGTGTTGTTGGTATTCTTCATCTATGCAAACTTTATCTTGCAATTTTTTTTTAAGAAATAAGTTACGGTATATTTTATATCATTTTTTTTATAATTAAAATTCTTACTGAAATGTTAACATTATATTTTGTCATCTTTGTTTAAATGGTACGTGCCTTATTAGGCCATGCCAAGGAATTTCATAACAGCAGAAGAACTAGAGGAGTATGACAGCATTATTCTGTGGAACTCTGAGGGGAAATCTTGGCATGTCAAGTTCAGTCTCAATCGTTCCTCTGGACAAATTTTTCTTAAAGGCCGATGGAAGAATTTTGTAGAGGATAATGGCCTGAAAGTTGGGAATGTTTGTGTTTTTGAGCAAATGCAGAAACTAGGAATTTCATTTAGAGTTTTTATTTTTCGAAATCCAGAAGAATCAAATCCGGGTCCTTCAATGTTGTCAGGTAAGTTATAAAAATTTATATTCACCTAGGTATTTCAATATGCAAATTGAATTTTTTTTTATCGTCAATTTTTTTTCTTAATAAGATCACTTTTATGGAGCAAACCAAAGTAAAAAAAAAAGGGCATCAAAATATTTTTGCTAAACAAGACAGTGATGGAATTCCAAAAAAGTATTCAGAGAATAATGCTTTTGAATTTGATGGTATGTTTGCTATTATTATACTCTTTTCTTTTATTGTGGACGTTATTCTTCATTTTCTTTAACTTTTTTCCAAATTTTTTTCTTAGATTCTGAATTTGTTGGAGGCCACAATAGCTCAGGGAATCAATTCACCATTCCTATCAAGTCGAATCAGCTTTATAAGGTAGGAATGATTATATTCACGTGTTTACACATTAGTTAGAGTGAGTTTGGTGATTTTTTTTGCCTTAACTAATTAGTTTTGTGTGTTGAGCAGAAAATACCAGCGAGTTTCCTCCGACATCATGATATTAATAATATGAATGATGTGACGCTGCGAGTTGGGAAGAGATCGTGGCATGTGAAGGTGGATGATTACTGTAGATTCACCACGGGTTGGTCTGATTTTATTAGTCAATGCAATTTGGAACCTGGAGATTTATGTCACTTCGAGTTGATTGATGAGGACGATTTTGTGTTTCAAGTTAGAGTTACCAAGTGCATCGATTGAGTTGGTGTAATTGTTATTAGTATCTTTTGCATTTCAATAATACTAATGCTAATGGTTTATCTATTTTCTTTTACTTTTACATCTCACTTTCATTTCATTTTTTTTCTTCCTTCCCCACCATCACATCAATTATATATCTATTATTTTTATTATTACTTTTTTCCTCAATCTCATTTTCATTCCAATTCGGTCTAAAATCTGGTGGATAAATATCATCACTCTTTGAATCTACTTTCAAACATATTTATTTTTTAATCTCTGGTGAAACATGGTAGTACGTACATCTTACATAAAATTATGTACTTAATTGTTTTTGTTTAGTTGCATTTTTATTTACTATTTTTTAATTTGAAATAGTATAAGAAAATATAACAAGAAAAAAGCTTGTTAATATGAAATATGAATGTGTGATATCATGCGTGCCCGTCAGTTTACGTAGCTTGCATGTATAACAGGATATCTATGGAGGAATGGGAGGGCTTTACTTCTGATTTTTTTTCACGATGTAAGGTTACATAGATTATTGATGGATTTTTTTTCTTACATATATGCATAGACTGAAGTAGAAAATTATAAACATGTATATGCAATGCCACCTATTTTATTTTTTTTAAAGAGCTTAATGGTAATAAACTATTATATATATAAAAAAAAGTTATATAAAATCATTTAACTAGAAATCATTATTTAGATTATTTCTTAAATAGCTATTGTAGTTAACATAATTATCATTTATGATGAATTATGACTTGAATCACTATATAAAACTATTTTACCTTATGAGTGTATTATTATTAAACTATTATTAGATTTATATCCGGATGATGTATGATTTATTTTAGTAAATTAGATGAGGTGATATTTAATTAATTTTTAAACAAAAATTAATAATAATAATAATAATAATAATAGATATAAAGTATAATAATATTAAGAATAAATAAAAAATAATATTAAAAAATAAATATATAGTAACTTGTTATAAATTATTGAATTTTTTTTATAAATAACATTATAATACATATTTGAATGAAATGTTAGCATATGAAAGGGTTAATGACAACTTAGGTATATACATATTTATTTTATATATATATATTAACTAGTAATTAATGTTTTAAGATAATGTTAAAGTTTACAATATTAATGTATTATTATTTTTAATTTATAAGAATATTATTTTATATGAAAATCTTGAGTTAGAAATTTTGAATATTTTACTTTAAATATATTTACATAAAAATATTAATATTTAATATAAAGTTATGTTTAATCACATTTCTTATATTAATATAATAATTAATAATTTTTATTATTACTATTTATGATATTTTAGAGAGAGAAAATTGTTGCAGAAGTTGTTCACTTTGATAATGTGCTATTTTTTCTCATTGAGTTAGAAATTTGAATATTTTACTTTAAAAATATTTACAAAAAAATATTAATATTTTTATGTAAAAGTATGTTTAATTACATTTCTTACATTAATATAATAAATAATAATTTTTATAATTATTATTTATGATATTTTAAGAGAGAAAAAATTGTTGCAAAGTTGTTTACTTTACTAATGTGCTATTTTTTCCGCTAATATTTATTAATTTTTAGCATATAATTATAATTATGTTTATGTAAATTTTATTTTAAAACTGCAATAATTTAAACTTAATGTGATTAATGTTTTATGATACTTTTTATATTAGTTTATTTTATTTTTATTATTAACATTCATATAAAAAAAAGTTTTTTAAGGGAAGAGGGTTGAGAATTTTGGAGGAAAGAAAGTTATTGCAAAACTTCTTTCTTTTATATTATTAATTTTTATAATTAATATTATATAATAAAAAAATTTTGAGATTTTTTTTGGGAATGAAGTTGAGAGTTTTGGAAGGAAAGAAGTTGTTGCAAGACTTTTTTCCTTTATATTATTAATAGATTTTATATATGAACTCACTAATTTCAATTTGTTGATATGTTATCAAATTATGTTTTTTCATTTACTAGCATTTTTTTTACTTTTAATTTCATTTTCAACTATATTGATACTTTTCACACTATTTAATTAGATTTTTTCATTTTACTTCATATTTTGTTTCTTTCTCCAACAATTTTTCTTATTATTTTTTTTTTCTAAAAATAATTTGGTGACTCAGAATTCTAGATTCGCTATTATTACATTATTGAGCTGTGTATTAGTCTCTATTTTTTTTTTTATTGGCTTTTATATGATTGCTAATTTGTTTTAGCCTAAAAATCTTATGAAACACTTAACTTGACTTAGCAGTGAGGTTGTAATAGATATGGGGAGATATAGTTATGATCACATTATTATCATCGTAATCTTTCGTACATTATGTAAACAAACATTGTTAGTATGGTAATATCTATAATCTTCTTTAATTAAAATGAATAATGAAAATATGAAAAATATATTGTTGGGAGTTTAAATTTTCAAATGTTTGTTATGATAGTTAAATTATTAATAGTAATTAAGTGGTACTTATAGAACATTAAAAAAATAAAAGTATTTCATGAACAAGGTGATAGGAAATTTATTCTCTATCAGCCACATGCTGAATGGCTATGTTTGTCTTTTGCAAAATAGAATGGACATTATCTAATGTAGTGGCCAACGAGAGGCCCAAAGACACTCATTTTTTGAACTCATCTCTTCCCCACATACCATATGCTTGCGTTATCTGAAAGGGTCCAAATCCTGTAGCCAACTTCAACAATTACACCACACTCCACTCATCAACATTATATGGTCAAGGAATGACAAAGCAAAGTCTTGCACATGCACCAATTTTATTGGTCGCAAATAAATTACTATGGTCTAGTATTTCACACCGGATAATCAATCTCTAATATTATAAGCATAGACCAACATAAATTATACCTCAACTTCAATTATCCTTAGCCACTTCACACTCTTGTTGCCTTCATGGCCAAGCCAGTGTCCATTGAGGTATGGAACCCAAATGGGAAATACAGGGTTGTCAGCACCAAATCAATGCCTGGAACTCGTTGGATCAATCTTCTCATTCAGAATGATTGTCGCCTTGAAGTAATCAAACTTTCTGTGTTTCATTTTTATACTATGCTAACACCTTTTCCTCCTAGCATGTGATACTTTAGTAAATGATGGAAATTTTGATTCATTATTTGTATCATACTTCCTACTCAGATATGTACCGAGAAGAAAACGATTCTGTCAATTGAAGACATTATTGCTTTGATTGGTGATAAGTGCGATGGAGTTATTGGACAGGTAATGATGACAAGAGTTGCCAGATAGTGATCAAGAAATTAGAGCATCATATTGGAAATTGACTTCAACTCAAACTCTTATTATTGGTTTATCAATTTAGTTTGAGTGTGGATTTTTTTTTTGGTTTTGGACTTTTGGGTATGTGATGGAGTTCTTTTTACAGCTTACTGAAGAGTGGGGGGAAGAGTTGTTCTCTGCCTTGAGCAGAGCAGGAGGCAAAGCTTTCAGTAACATGGCTGTTGGTTATAACAATGTGGATGTTGATGCTGCAAACAAGTATGGTGTTGCTGTTGGAAATACTCCTGTAAGCTCTCTTTTTTCATCTGTTTGATATTACTGTTATATTACATCTATTTTTTTTTGTAGAATTAACATTTATGAATTGTTGTAGATTTTGCACTAGTGATAATGTCATAATAGAGTACATAAGTAAGGAATAATTATCATCTTACAAGTCAATTTTATTGGATTGAATTAAATTCATAATCCACTTTTTAAAAATGATATCAAAGTTTATATCTTAGTAATTATTAATTGTTGTTAGACTTATTAGCTTACCAGCTATCGAACCACTCATTGATATTCAGTCCTGTAAATTTTACCTCAAGATTTCTAAACCTTAGTATGAGAGAGATGCGTCAGATTTCATATCAACTAGTGATAAAGGCCATAATCGAGTACATAGGTGGAGAATAATCCTCACTTTACAAAATGATTTTGTAAGATTGAGATAAACTCATAATTCACTTTTTTAGGATGAATGAAAGTTTTTTGTTTTTAATGGAATACAGACGGTGCTGCGGAGATTGATTACTAGTACATGGGTTTAAGTGTGATGCAAAAGTGATTTTTCATGCGTTGTGTGTTTTATGAGAGAAAGTAATATCCTTGAGGAGGTTGTTTTTATTTTAACATTAGTTTCATTCCTTATCTTGTAGGGAGTGCTGACTGAGACAACAGCAGAGCTGGCAGCTTCACTGTCATTGGCAGCTGCTAGAAGGATAGTTGAGGCTGATGAGTTCATGAGGGCAGGATTGTATGATGGATGGCTACCTCATCTGTATGAAATTTTTTTGTTACACATTCTTTTCTTGTTACTTGATGTGAAGTGTGATGTTAAATACCACGGAACAACTTCTTTGACACTGAATTACAAGTAACATACTCTTCAGAAGGCTGGAATAAACTCTCTTGCATTGTTTTTGTGGCAGATTTGTTGGAAATTTGCTCAAGGGACAAACTGTTGGTGTAATTGGAGCTGGTCGTATTGGATCTGCGTATGCAAGAATGATGGTAATTTTCCAAATGTTGCAATCTCACTTTGATTGTTATATGCTAAATTGTCACTCATAAAAATTGCTTGGTTTCTAACTACAGACGTATTGATTTCTTTACTTGATTTTTCTTTAATTTTGTGTCAAATTTTGGATGAGCATTTCTGCTGTCATGTATTAAGCTGGTGATAATTGATGATATTTCATTATTCACATGGTCATTATATATCAAAGCTGGCATGGGTAATGGACTTGCCTTGCAAAATCCTTTAACATGGAATCTTGCAAGAAAGTGCATTATATAGTTTGCTGATTTGAATGACTTCAAGTTGATTGTGATGCTCAATAATATTTATAATCAGGTTGAAGGGTTCAAGATGAACCTAATTTACTTCGATCTCTACCAGGCCACACGACTAGAAAAGTTTGTTACAGGCATGTTCTTACCAAGTCCTGTTAATAAACCAAATTACACTCTGCAGTGTGAACTAATGGTTATTTTTTCCCTGTTGCAGCTTATGGTGCATTCTTGAAAGCAAGTGGTGAAACCCCAGTGACATGGAAAAGGGCATCATCCATGGATGAGGTCCTCCAGGAGGCAGATATAGTAAGAATTTGATTCTCAAAATTTAATGTAACATATTACATTTGATTATTCCAAATAATATGGTTTATCTTGTGTGCTTCTATAGATTAGTCTTCACCCTGTCTTGGATAAAACCACTTATCATCTAGTCAACAAGGAAAGACTAGCTAAGATGAAGAAGGCAAGAGTTTAAGGAACATGTTTTTGCTCTAATTTATTTACAAAATTCAAGTGACGCAAATTGTTTTCTGTTAATGATAATGTCCCTATTACAGGAAGCAATTCTTATAAACTGTAGCAGAGGGCCTGTTATTGATGAAGCTGCACTTGTGGAGCATTTAAAACATAACCCAATGTTTCGAGTAGGCCTTGATGTGTTTGAGGTAACTGACCCTTTCTTGTCACTGAATAATTGGATTCAATATTACAAAATACAAGCCCACTATTCAAGTCCCTAAGTTAAGTTGAATTTTTTTATTAGGACGAGCCCTTCATGAAACCCGGGCTTGCAGAGCAGAAGAATGCCATTGTGGTACCCCACATTGCATCTGCCTCCAAGGTAATTAATTGTAAATCCTAACATATACATTATGCTAAAGAATTTTCAGTATTAATGTATATGTATGTACTGTACATGCAGTGGACCCGAGAGGGAATGGCTACACTAGCAGCTCTAAATGTTCTGGTATATATGTCTTTACATGTTGGACCTATTTCCATGGTATATGTAAATTCTAATTGTCTTGTAAAACTGATTATAGTCCTTAATCATAAAATATACAGGGGAAGATTAAAGGGTACCCAGTTTGGTTTGATGCCAATAGGGTGGAACCATTCCTCAATGAGAATGCTCGACCACCAGCTGCATGTCCAAGCATTGTTAATGCAAAAGCCTTGGGTAATACTAACATTTTATACATTTTTCTAATAAGAATGTACAACTTTTTTTTTTTATTGGACTAGCCTTGATTATATTATGAAATACAAATCTCGAACTAGTTATGCTATCGACGTTGATGACATTTTGAACACGGTTCAATATTATTGTAACCCTTTTAATTGGACTTACATGTTCTCTTTCTAATTGCAGGTTTGCCAAGTTCAAAGCTATAAACACACCTGGTTCAATCCTACACAAGGGCCTTCAATTGCAAAAATGACCAATTTCTGTGTGTTGAGTTGGTCTCTGTGGCAGGGAAATATGGCTATTCTGTTCTCTTTTCTTTTCTTTTTTTGTGCATGTAGAGTGCTGATGGCAGTGTGAATATAAAGACTGTCTCGTTAATAACAGCATCATGTATCTGTAGTATTTGAAACATTAATTAAACATAAATGAACTTATACCTGAGGATTCAGCTTATTTTCTTCATGAGAGAAGAGGAGAAATATATCACAAAACTTGTTATGAAAATTTGCTTGATTGATTTGTATATCAAGGTTTTGACATAACTCTAAAGTGAAACGTAACGTGGCATCTCCTCCTTCCATTTGTGTTAGAATTTCAGTCTCTTTGAAAACCATAATACGCCCAAGTCCTCCATTACGTGTAGCACCAATTAATTAGAGAAGAGTACCGGCACTACCATGCTTTCTTAAACACATTTTCTTTGAAAATTATATAATTAGGAAAGAAAATTATATGTATATTTTTTTTTTGCATGAAAGAGAATTATATACAAGACGTAAGACGTGATTATCAATAAAAAAAAATGTATTGTTGGTATTTTTTTTATTCAAAAGTATCATCATTTTTCTCGTACTTCTTCCCTTGTTATTTTCTTTATAATAATAAATTATAAGTGTTTAATTCAAATTTAATTTTTTAAAAGATATAAAGTTAAAAATAAATTAATAGATTAAAAAGCAAGATTAATATTAAAAATAAAATGAAAAATACCATTCATACTATGTTAAAAATTAAAAATAATGCATAAAATAAAATTATATGTAATTAACTTATTTACATAAAATAATAAATAGATTGCTTAATTAAATTATGCATGCAAAAATAATTTAATTACCTTAATTTAAAAGTACTATTTATTAATTTAATCAATATTTTATATTTTGTTGACCATTTTATAGTATTATACTAACTAGAGTTAGTGATAAAGACTAAAAGAAAATCCTTATAAAATTTCAAAGACAAAGTAATATTTTAGAGATTGAACTCATATTTAAGTCTATTTAAATATATTTCGGGATTAGATTTTGCACAATGGATTTGTATCTCTAAATACTCATTCAATGTTTTACTAAAATATCTTTGAAGGTAAATTAACTTAAGGTACTCTTTGTTCTCTTTCAAGATATGAAGGTGTATCTAATTGAATTAACCTTTATAATCGTGATAATTATATTCAATTAAATATGTTACATTTTTTTGTTAATCTAATTGACCTTTGAAGGATTAAATTTACTTTTATGATTTAAAACTGAAGTCTAATTCTTAGGATTCCAATATATATAAAATAATAAGAATTGATATAAAAAAAAACTATAATCAAACATTTCTTATATTTAAAATTGAAGTCTAAAGAGATTATATTTAACGTCTCTTAATCAATAGTCATGATATATATGATAGAAAAATATTTAATAGTGAGTCCTAAGATAATAAAGTCATTGATGACTTCTTTTTCAAGTAATTAAAAGTATTAAAGAGATTGTATTTAACGTCTCTTAATATGCGCTCCTGACATATACGACAAAAACATACATTTATATTTTTAAGGTCTCTAATAAATATCTTAAAAACATTGTTTAATATACCTATTAAATACCTTGAATTACTTTATCTTTTTATTAAAAACTTTATACTTTTACCTTCTTAACCTTAAAAATACAAACCATTGAGTGAATATAAATAATTGTATTCAACAAAGACATTTACATTTTCAATTTAGTGGCCCATCTTCTATAATCAAGGATGGCTTCATCATCATCAAAGAAAATTAGTGTGAAGTGCTCTGAAGGCATGGTGTTGGAGGTGGATGAAACTTTGGTGAATGTTTCTCCTACCATGAAACGCTTGATAGAAGAAAAGTGTAATGAAAGTAGCATTGTCATCACCTTGCCAAACATCTCGAGCGAAACCTTGTCTAAGATCATTGAATTCATCAAGCTTGACTTGGAAAGTGATGTGACTCTCAATAATGTCGGAGTTGAATCTGCTGATGCTGATTGTAAGGCCTCTGAGAGTCTTACAAGTTTCAATAACTTAAAACTAGAGTTCACAAAAATTGATGTAGACACACTTCTCCACCTTATTACGGTTAGTTTCATGTCATTTTTGTTTTCTTCCTTTTTTGTATCTCATTTTTCATTTCTTATCTATAGGAGTTTAGATTTCTCTTGTTTTCACTATGTCTAGATCTAAATATGAATCCAATTTATTTTTTTAGTACTAATAGATAAAGGCCCTTTTCAAGTGGGAATATGGTTGGATTTCAAATGATTTATATTTTCCATCTTAGCAATTCTACCACCACCCTATCTTTTCATTCCCTTCCTCCTCTATCATCATTATTTTGCAATTTTTTTAAATTGTTATGACTTCCTTCTTTGATACTTAAGAAAACAGAATGATTGAATTGAAATTTGAAATGGGTGATGAATAATTGTTTGTCAACAATTTCAAATAAAAGAGAAGTAAAGAATGTCACAAGAGGCAATGGCAACATGAAGTTTTAATTTTTTGTTATCTAATTCTTATTTCCCATATTAATTTTAAATTTAATATACTCTTTACTATATTTGTATAAAATCTATCTTTATTTTTGAATAAAAAAATTCTATAGTTCATATGAAAATTATATAAATCGAGGGGAAACTTTGTGTGGAATTGTCAAAATTTTTAAATAAAATAGAGACAAAATCTATCTTAGTTTAAAATTTGTTAAAGTGTTTATGAAAATTTTAACAAAAGTTGTGTTAATGGTCACAATCATGGAGACCTCCAAAATCTCAATACTACACAAAAATCATTTTCACTTGACATTTTTGTCACCTTGCTTTGTTGTTTGTTTAATGTGGATTTTCAGGCAGCACACTATCTCAAAATTGAGAAAATTTATGATTTGGGATGTGAAGAAACTGCGAGAAGAATCCGAGGAAATACCCCAGAGCAAATTCGCCAGATTTTCAAGATCAAGAATGATTTCACTCCTGAGGAAGAAGAAGAGAACAAGAGACTGTTGTTGACACCATGGTTTTTAAAATAAACAACAAGTTATGTTTAACTATCCATCTTTCTATAGCAATGTGGATAGTTATGATGTATTTAGAGGACATCGTGCTATAGATCAAACTTTTTAGTTTGTAATAAGATCCTCTAAAACTTTTATTGATATCATAATAAAAGAATGCATCCTATGGCATTTGATTTATTCTGTTGGTTGAGCACCACCATTTGATTAATTTCTTATGTTTCCCACCTCCACATTCATCATGTATTTGCGCATCAAACCAGTGAGTTAATAACACCCAGAGCAAGTCATCAAATGCAACCCAGATACTTCGAGGAAGAGAGGACTCGAACCAAGTAAGTTTCAATACTTAGAACCCAAGTGACCACAACTTCACAAGTTGTAATGTGTCTAACCTCAATAATTTTTTATTTTTTAATTAAATATCATATATTTTTCTCAATTAAATATCATAAGTGATACAATATCTTTCCGAGATGATCACCCATCCAAATTTTAAAATCATCTAAAAACACAAGTTAAAGAAAAATAACTAAAAACACTCGTTGAAAAATAGTTCTTAAAATATTGAATATTTAACAATTTAGTTTATGGGTTAAGATATTTTATTAACATTAAAGAACTAATTTGAAAAAAAAATTCAATACTTAAAAGACCATAACTAATTCTTAAAAGAAAGTTTTAAAACTAATTCTTAAAGAAAAAAGAGCATTTTTAAAGTACTTTTTTAAAAACTAATTCTTGAAAAGTTGTTTCACAAAAAACCAGAAAACTACTTATTTAAAAAAAGTTTGAACAAACATTTAAAAAGCAAAAAAAAAAATGCTTACTTTATTAAAAAAATGCTTTTTTAGAAGAAAAAAAATGTTTAAACATACAGGCTCCATATAGCATGATTTGAGAGAAAAAGTGATATTTGAGGGATCAAATTAATTGATGGTTTATTCTATGATAAATATAATGAAAATTAATATCTCATTCCATCCTATACCAACCCCAAAATTAGACGGTAGGAAAGCTATGCGTTTTAGATGGAATTGAATGAAATCTGTTTCATCTCTTATCATCGCATTCCAATTTATAAATCAAGTAATCCAAACAATAGAACTTATTAAAATTTCATTTCATTCCTCTACTTCATCTCATACCTTTTCATCAATACAAACAGCCTAAATTCCATTCCGTTCTACTTATTTCCATCAATTCCAATTAGTTAACTACAATTTTTAAAGACCCTACGAAAAATGATAACAAATTAAAACCCAGATGCATAAGATCGCAACCATCCCAATAGAAAGGAAAGGGAAAAAAGGACTTAACCCTGACTAACTTAGGCTTAAATATGTGGGCTAAACTCAGGCTTAAACATATGTGGGGAAGTATAAATTACCATAAAAACTCCACCAGTTAAAAGTCCATATATATATAATGATAGGCAATAGCGCCACTACGAAGAACCCATATCCCAAGCAAGCATGAAGTATTTGAAGTTCAAAATAACTCCACAATGCTCCATATGTGCATTGCAAAATATTATAGACTATAATATTACATGATCAAAAAGCACTTATAAGTGCAATCCAACGTTGAAACTTATCAGTAACTGAACAATGTGAAATAATGACACACCATTACATAAGCAGATACCTTAGTCAGGCAATGCAGTTCCTCGCTCAAGATTATTTTTAATCTCCAGCGTGTACTTACCAAAGGCTCGTTCAATCTTTTTGTTGAAATGCTCATTACGGTCATTGATCGAGTCAATATCTTTCTCTTCGTGAAATCTTCTTCTCCTGCTAAATGACCTGCGCTTCTCTTCCCTATCCTTTAGCTCCTGCACCATCCTGTCAATCTTCTCCTCTGAGATTTTTGGTGCCTATAATGAAATGAAAGACAAATCATCACAAAAATACTTAATGGAGGGCAAATGTTGAGAAGAGATATTGATGTTTTGGTAGTATACCTTTCCATACTGGAGACTTGAAGCTTCTCTGTAGAACTCCGGATCAGTTTCTTTCATTTTATTATATTCTTCTACATCTACTTCAACGTTCTTGGTCCGCTTTTTGTATGCATTGTATAATGTCTTCTGATTAAACACTGATAAAATAAGAAAAAAATTAGCTTCTGTCACTACTCTACGACATGAAAGTTCGTTAGGGTAATTTTGCAGTCAATTACACACTCAGCAACAGGAAAGCATCTATTTCTCTTAAGATAACAATCTCCTTAGATTTCAAAGCAGAAAAATGTGAAACAAATTTATATATAGGAGCATTATACATCATACTCTTCATTTAAGAGATTAACCAAGACATAAGCTTTAAAACTCAGGAGTTTGCAAATATGGATTTTTTGGAACAGCAATGAAGCTTACACATCAAGAGAAGAGTACAACTATATTTTACATCTGTGTGTATACACGTGCAAGAAAACAAATAACCATGCCAGCCACAAAAGCAACACACTGACAGGACAAATAACAACATTTCTTGGATAAGTACAAAACTTACCATCCCACCCGAATGGAGCAGGATCCTTTTCCCATTTCTTGTATTTTTCCTCTGCTGCCTCCTGTGTGTCAAGCATATATGCCTTCGTCATATCCAATCCATTTGCATCAAGAAGTTTTCCAATCTTTCTCTTCCTATCCTCAAGCCATTTCTGTTTAGAAACACCCCTAGACTCAGTTGGAGGTTCCATCCTCTTTTTTTCAGCAGCTATTTCAATTTGATTACGCTTTTTTGCTTCTTGCTACATGGGAAACAAAACAACAGTATTAGGTTTTCTTCAAATAAATAAATAAAGTTATAATCAAGGGATTTTCACCCATTTACCATCTTGGCTCTCAACTCCATCCACTTCTTCTGCCTTGAAGAGAGTTTTGAGTAGTCACCCTCCATTTGCTCCGCTTCCTGCACAGCAGGCTGGTCAGAATCACTATCAGAGTTTCCTTCCAGATTGGGTCTGTCATCATACATTTCCTCAGCTACATATGATTCATCTGGGATGGCTTGCTTACAGTTGCTTCCACCACTAGCTTGTCCAACTTCTGATAGATATAGAAAACGGTATGTAAATATGAACAGATAAATACAATTTTTTTTTTTCAAAAAACACAATCACAACAACAAAGCCTTATCCCCCTAAGTGAGGTCGTCTACACGGATCACACAAAGCCATTTGACACAGTTGAAAACCAAAGCTTCATGAATATTATCCGTAATTGCATTTTTTTTTTTTGAATATGAAATAGTCTTGATTGAGGAATCAAGGGAAGCAGTTAACATTAATTTCAATATAATTAAATAAAAGTTCTGTAACCTTATGACATAGTAGGAAAGAGTTATCAACTTACAAAGCACAGTGAGCATTTACAGAAGAATAATGGGCCATGAAAGTAGCTAGTCGTAAACATAATCAAATCAATAGATAACTATCCAATTAACGGAGAAAACAAAAGAACCTGCTATCATTCTCAAAACAAAAGAGGGAATTGCAACTGAAAAACTAACCTGATTCCTGTTGCTGAGACCTAATTTTGGTTTCAGCTATTACCCTAAAACAGTAATCGCTACATTCGTGATAAGGGTTACTAGCATTCCGGCAATCGGGATGCACTGCTCGCTCCTCAGACATCTCGGGCAGAGAACTTGTCACCTGTTGCGTTGCCGCATATGAAACAAACATGTTCGTGTCAAAACCCTAATTAGTCAAGCAATTATTTGAAAAATTGAAAGCAAGTAGCGCATACAGAAATTGGAATTGAAAGAAGATTACAGGTGAATTAAAAATAGAGGATTGTGTTGTTATTGGTGAAAAATTGAAGGAATGAGAAGACAGATACGAACCTTTAACAACGCAGAAGCGATTCCTGAACAAGAAGTGGAACGGGGAATTGGATTCGGATTTGAGTATTTTATCGATGGGAATCCAATCGAAGTGATTGTTTTGGTATCTCGTTATTTATTTTCTTTTTAATTTTGGGGATTAGGGTTTGTGTTATTCTGATATTGATATACCACTTGATCGTCTCTGCTCTGCCACTGGGAGAAGTGGAAATGTGGATAACTTTGCTATTTGCTTAAAGAATACAAAAATTCTTGATTCAACTCTCTTATCATATTATCAAAAGATAAAAATATAATGTTATAATTTGTATTCATATAATTTCATACAATATAGATAATTTTCATTCTTAAATAATAAAAATTATTTTTTTTCATATTTACTTATATATTTAATTAATATTTTAATTTATGTGATAGACAAATTAAATATTTATTATATATATTTAAAAAATCTCTAAAAATAATTTCATTTAAACAAATATCTACAAACGTTCGTATTGATATTTTAATTATTTATTTTTAAATGAATATATTTTATTTTTATCTTTAAATT